TTAAAATTTTTAATTCATATTTTAAAAATAAAATATTTTAATTTTTTTAAAATTTATTAAAATAATATAATTTTAAGATTTTTTTTAATTTTTAAGAAATAAAATAAATAAACATTATTCTTGTTAACGATTTAAATAATTTAATAATATTTTTTTCTATTATAAATAAAAAATTTTGAATTTGAATAATATAATATACAAGTGAGATGAAATAAAAAATGAAAAAATAATTGTTTATTTTTTATTATATAACTAAGATAAAAAAAAACACTATTCTTTATATGAATATAATTAGAGGTTATTTTTATATACATTTTATATATTGTATTTACATAAAATTATAATTTTTAAATTTTTTATTTTTAATAGTTAAAATTTATTTATATTTATTAAAAATAATTATTATTTTTATTTAAAAAACTTTGATAAATATTAATTATTAAAAATAAAAAATAACAAATAATAAATTAAAATTTTATATAAATATAATATATAAAATTTATATAGGATGAACACTTTTTATATATGTATATATATATTGTACCATAAAAAATTTACTATTGTACTAAATTTTCAGTAATCACATTATTCATGTTCATGACGGTGGTTGCCAATAAGCCATGGCCAGAGAGGGCTGGTCGGCTCAGTCACTTTCAATTCCAAAACCACAATTCATCCATTATATATTATCTATATATTTCATTTGAAAAATGATGGTTATTTTTTGATTTTTTTTTAAATAAAAAATTTAAGTAGAATTTATATACTTATTTATATTATCTTAAAAAATAAAAACAAAAATTTTTATTATAAGATAATTAATAAAAATAAAAAATAATATTAATTTTTAATAATTTTCATTTAAATTTTGTTACTAGACAAAAAAAGTCGTGTCGTGTAAAAGTTAAGAAGATAACCAAAATTGATGCCATGTTTAATAACACAAGTTGTAACCCAACTAAAAATCACCTTAAGCCCCTAAAATCACAACTTGCGGCGCATAAATACTAATTAAATCATATTTCACGTCACATAATTATTAAAACGGCTAGTGGAATTAATAACTTTACTGAAAAGATGTGTTACTAACACCTTATGATATCTGATTTTTTTACTTTTTACTAAAAATAGATATTAAGAAAGTCGTTTATTTTTTTTTTTAACATGGAGAGGTACTCAAACTCTGTATCTCAACTTACACGAAGATATTTTTACAATGGAAAAGATGGTT